TTCTTATGTATTTATATATAATGATATACTTTATATAATTAATTGTAAATTGATCATCGATCATATGTAAATATAATGATATGTAATATATATATATATAGATATATGTATGTATGTGTATCGAGGTTTCCTAAAATAAGGGTACCTCCAAATCATCCAAGGCGTTAGACCATGACTTAGCATTGAAACAACCATGGTTTTACTATGGGATCCCCCATCTTAAGTTCCACCACCTTAGTGGAATCGCCTGGTTGGTGGATGACCGCGACAAGCTCCCGCGAGTGGTCTGGCGGTGGCCGGCGGTGGCTGCGATGGGTTTTTATAAACAATTTCCATGGGTTTACAATTTCCATTTATAGATGGCATGGAAATGGATCTACGGTTTACAATTTCCAATTTACCAACAAAACTGGTGGTGGGGAGATTGTAACTGGCATCTATTGCTTGTAAAATTTGTAAATGGAAATAACAAGACCCCTGCACTCAGGTGGGAACCATGGGAACCATATCAGGCCAAAATATCAACACTCCAACATGCTCTCTGGTTGGATACCGCGAGTAAGACACAACAGCATCTCCATTCTTTGTTGTTCTTTGTGTTGCGACTCAACAGGAATTTCAAACAGCAACTACTTGTTTTGTTCATTGCATCTGTACAATTGCGACATGATCATATAGCACTGTCTTGATCGCCTGAATTTCCCTCTGGCCAATTATATACATAACTGTTCGACAAACGCATCTTAAAGGAGATGGGGTTGATATGATATGATGTCATTTGATGTGATATGAAGTGATATGACGTGATAGTCACTATTAGTCTGAAGCAGTATAGTGATAACAACCATTTTCATTCAATTGAGAAACTGCTACACAACCCACCCTACCAAGTCTGGAAAACAACTATAGTTTCAATGTCCAATGGGTGAACAGGTTCCGTTTTTTCAGGCTTTTGTAGTCCAAACATGTCCAAACATTGAACTTGAGAATACACCACTGCCAACTTTACTTCCTTACTTCCTTCCTTCCTTCCTCTTACGTACTTGCTTACCTACTTACTTACCTACTTACTTACTTACCTACTTACTTACCTACTTACTTACCTACTTACTTACTTACTTACTTACTTACAAACTTACTTACTTAAATACTTACCTACTTTCTTACCTACTTACTTACCTACTTACTTACTTACCTACCTACCTACCTACCTACTTACTTACTTACTTACTTACTTACACACAAGGTCACAACTTGGTTGGAAAGATATGGTCGCATTGTTGAGTCAAAACCCAATTGGTGGCAAATATTGCGATTGGCATTCAGAAATGATCTGGATCATGACAGATCTGATCCCAAACCTGTTTGTTTTGTCGTAGAAAAACGAGAAAAACGCGCCGTATCCCGCTGTGGAATACCTGAAATTCTGCACCGAGGTACACCCTTAAGTTCAAACAAAAACGCAAAGCATGGTTTACTATGCCCTGCACAATACATCACAATGCGTCTCCTTATATGGTGGCAATAAACCCTGAGGTTTCTTTGCATAGTTCCAATTCCGCAATATTCTTGGGGTACCGAGCACAGAGGAATTGATTTCTTCATAGAATTTGTTTGGTAAAATTGTGGCCCAAACTTGTTCAACATCGAGACCAGTTTCGCCTGGCCTATATAGGTGTTCGATGGTTTCCCATGGTTTCCAAACATCAAATAGCCTTTTCATTTACTGCGGATGTTTTCAATACCCTTCCCACATCATCCAAGGCCCCACGGCGCCTGGTCCCCCTTTGTTTCCCCCTGTGCGCAGGAGAGCACCGGTATGTCATGGTTGAAGAACGGTGTTCTCAAGGGATCATGCCAAGCACCATGGCGAAACTTAGATTTCTAGAAAAGGTGATGTCTTCTATGTATTCCTCCATTTATCCGCTACGTTGCGCTTCCAAACTGTTTTCATAGAGAATCTAGAAGAACACATCATCCTTCGATTTGTAGCTTCTTGACCCCTACTTGGGCTGATTTAGAATGGCCCCCAAACGTTGTTTATCAGTTGGCATGGTGGATCCGACGATGATCATATTCGCTCATTCACAACAAAACTATGACATGAAACTATATACATAAGCAATGATGATACAATTCATTGGTAAGTGGGTCATGAGTTGATTAAGTATGATAATCATTACTATGATGATTGAAATTATGATTAATCATAATCATAATTATCAATTCATAGAATTAATCATGGATTATAATTATAAACTTGATCACCTAATTACTCAATATAATAATCATGATAAAATTCATCAATTCATAATATCTCCATGGCCAACCAAAGGTACCAAGGTTCGGCCGGCCGGAACGCCGGTTTTCTACTACGGCGCCTGGGTGATGGTGCTGAAGCGAGTGCTGCCTCGGGACTTGCCCGTCTCCTCTTCTCCCTCAGCAAAGAGGCTGGGGATATCATTCAGGAATGACTGGAAAGAGTTTTACAGTTATACCCACAGAGAAGAACAAGAAGCAAAGGTGTAGAAGTCATCCAAACTTGATCATAGTGCGGAAATCAGCTTGTCAATCTTTTTGGGGACCATGTGAACACTTCCGTCTAATCAGCAAGATTGAAGCCATACATGATTAGACCGGTAATAGGGCGTATACCACGAAGGTCATAGATCAAGTACTACTTCCCAAGGTGATGCCTTCTTTGCTGTCAACAGCATCTGGCCACAGATCAACAGCATCTGGATCTTTGACTGCCAGCATGACACATCTGCAAACTGCAACAGCCGAACATTGTGGCTTCAAGTTTGAGTTCAAGAATGTTTTGCCCCAGGAAAACGCAATGTCACCACAAACCACAAACCCAACAGTAAACCAACCTGGCTAACAACCTGGGAAACCACACGGATTCGGAATCGGAGGAGCTCTCCTGATGAAGCCAGTAGAATGGCTACAATGGTCTGACCATTGTATAACCCATGTAGAGAAATATCCCCAGTTATATGGCCTTTGGAGGGTTATATAGGGTTATGTTACGATAGCCATACCCTATGGCCCTATGGATCCAAATCCTTGCTAGGAAGGTATTCGACCCCCAAAATCAAACCCCACTGCCTCAGAAGGTAAGGCTGGATCCATAGGGATAGTAATGGAACTATCACCAACACTTCACCAACTATATGTGGCTTATAACTTATAACTTATAACCACTCACGATTCCTGGCTGCATATATGATTCCTGGGTCATCTTTGAATGGGAGTTTCAAATTCCTTAAAACTGGGGCACGCCTTTCAATGATTGGGAAACCCTCGTTCAAAATGACCACAACAACTTGGATGGTAACTTGGGAACCCCTCTTTTTGGGATCGTTTGAGGACTCACCTCGCCCGCAGCTTCCTTGAACGAAAAAACACATCAAGAAACGGCGCCAGGCCCAAACGCAGCCCTCCTCCATTTGTGCTTGGTACTGATGAAACAACTCCTCCTGGTGCGGGTTTCGGTGGCCAATGTCAAAAGAAATAGGCGTCCCAATGCCAAGGTTGACAGGTCACAAGACATGATAGAAAATGGGTCGAATGTTGTTTTGCATTCACTGGCCTTTGCACATCTAGGAGAACTGTTTTCCAACGGGGAGCTTCTGAACAATCCAAACATATGTACACATTGAGCTAGTTCAAATTCCCACAAGTGAGACCTAGGGCATGCACGCCATCGGTTTTGCAACGGATTCCTCTCGAAAAATAGGCTTGATTCTGGGAAACCAGCAAAACTCTTTCTGTTGCGATCAAGCTTGACCAAAAACGTTGACTGGCCTTCAATCTGAGGCAAGACAAGGGGTCTTGCAGAGACCTTTGCCCCCAGATGATCAAGCTGAAACAAATCCAAAGCACCAAAAGCACTGGCTGTTAGTAGCACATTATATGGATCAGAGCCTTTTGGGTCTGAACAGAATATATACATAATATATAATCAATATATATATATTATATATACACATATTTATAATATATATATATATATGTTATATAATATTATATATATCATATTTTTATACAAATATATATGTATATATTAATACCGCCATGGCAAACACATGTTTCTGAAGCAATATGAACGCATCGGATTGATGGGACCTTGAGACCCCATTTTGACCCCCTTCCTGCGCTGCGAACTCCGTGATGAAAGTCTGGCGGAAGACGCCAGCTTCGCGCGGTCAACATGGGGGCATTGCGACCACCAAATGGCTGGTTGGTGGTATACCTACCCCTCTGAAAAATATGAAAATCAATGGGAAGGATTATCCAGAATATATTAATGGAAAATAGAAAATGTTCCAGACCACCAACCAGAAATGGAGATGTACCAGCAGTTATCTCAGGATTTGCCCATCAAGACTGGAAGTTTGTTGGACTGTGATAGTTGCTCACCTGACGTAGACCCCACCAGCGCTTCACCATTTCCTTGGGGCTGCATGGATTGCATGCTTTGAGGCAAGGGATGAGCAGATTGAAATGGGAAATACCAAGGAAGTGGATAATTTTACAGCAATTGTCATGGGGATATCAGTTATCTTTGGAATCTGTGGAACAGTTATCTCAAATGCTGACCATCTACTCATTCAGGGAAAATCCAAATGTAGTCAGCAGGGGACCATCTGCACAAGACAAAGTATGAACGAACAGCAACCACCCAGCCAGTCTCTCGGATTCACGATCGATCTTGTGTAGGTATGGCTCAAATCAGGGCTTACATCAGATATGGCAAACAAACATCTTGAGCAGGGAACTGTTTTGATCTATGTTCCCCAATTTATGGCAGAAACCTAGCCCATAATCTACCCAAAAAAGGTTTACCCACAAAATCTAAATGCAGGTCCATACAAAAGTTCATTGCCTCTGCAGCTCACCCGCAGCTTCCGATACTCGCAGCTTCTCTCCTCTCACGATTTTTTTTTGCTCCGACTCTGGCAGTTCGACGACAAACCGGTTCAATGGCCGGTGTTTCAGTGTCGTAGACGATGCAAGTGCCACCATTGACCACTCCTTTCCTGAGATTCGATGCTGGGTCTTGGGACTGATAACCACCTCACAGGCCCTCAAGCCTAAACATATCTAAACATCCCTAACGCTCCCGATGGAGCATGGGGCGTCATAGTCACCGGGGCGTCGTAGGAAACATATATCATTGATGGACAACCCTGCAGGGGTCAGTACACCCCATGATACTCCGACCCTTCATAGGGACACCCCCTCAGAAGATAACAACATGGTTCTAAGGTAGTTGATGGTAATGGAGATGTTTTCAATTGAAATTTGAAAGTCAACCTTTGGCCAATTTGGTACCTCCCAAACTCCCAGCTGGTCCACCCGCAATTTCTTTGCTCTGCAAGCGGTGATGGAGATCACTAGATGATCCCTTGGAGCCTCGGCTGGAAGCCTGTGGGCGGGAGATGCTATGGAGATTGCAAATGCAATCCGAGCAGGAGGATATACCTCTGCAAAACTCTAAGGGATAACGACGATCTGTGACATGTTCTTGAAATTCTTCCGATGACCCCTATAAAGGACTCAGCACACAGTAAGGTATAGAACCTTGGGTTGATCAGGGTCTCCTTGACGTCATCCAACAAATGCTGAAAATGATGATGTTTGGGCAACAAGCGCCAAAGGGCGCGATTGCGTTCATGGGCCCCCCTTGTGGCAGCACTTTTGGCATTTAGATCTGAATACAGCTGAAGATGTTCATGACCACGGTCAAAAAACTCTTGTCCTTCAGATGGCGTGAGCAAAACATCAGATTCGTCCATCAAGCGCAAAACCTCAGTGTAAGCCCACGCGCAATTTGCAACCTCCCTGTCCAAGTCCGTAGCATCCGCTCTGGATGCCCAAGTAATCAACCTTTCGGAAAGCCAAAATGAGATAGCTTTGGATGCTGCAGCTTTTGAACTCAAGTTGGGGTATGCATTCCTTGTGGGCCTTCCAAGGCGGCTTACAGTGAAACGAGGTTGGGTCACATTGATTCCCCTTTCCTTCTTCCAAGCGTTGAAATCCTCATATGCACTGCGTAACGCATTCTCCATCGCAAAACGGTACAGCCCGTTCCCAAAGGGCCCAAATGCTCCACCCTCAATAAGATATGTCAGACAACTGCCATTTAAAGCTTTGCCAGTCCCAAGAAGCTGGCTATGCATGACGTCGTGCAACACCCTCTCTAGCCGAGATCCTGGAATGGAAAAGATCGGGTTGAAATTCGCAGGCTCTACCTCCTTCAGCGCAAAAAAATCATCATGACTCAAACGGGTGGCCCGGTGAGCAGCATGCAACCCAAAGCCACCAATTGTCATAGAAAGGTCTGGGTCAGATTTCTTGACCAAACATCGACTACACACTTCATTCTGCCGAAAATTGTGTAGCTGAAATTTCTCTGTCACCCACTTCAGGTCCCCTTGGGTGCTGCTGTAAGAGAAGGTATACCCTTTCTGGGACCAAGGGTGTTCCATATTTGGATCACACATCTTTGCAACCCGTTCTGCAACATGCGCCAAAATTTGCTTGTGGGTATTCTCAGTGCAGTAGTGTTCACAAATGCAACACATGCAGAAGTAGCGACTCAATGGTGTTTGTCCATGCCCAAAATCACTGGACCAACCCAAAACACTGACCACTCCACCCTCCGTATTGCGAAAAGATTGTACCTCATCGCCATAAAGAGAAAATGGAATCATTTTTCCCCAATGCGCAGCATCCACATTTTGGGAAGGATGGCCGTTGAACCAACTGCAATGTGCTTCCACATGTTTCCAATATTTTTCTGCATCGACATTTCCAATGAATAGCTTCTTGAACAGAGCTTCGCTTTCAGCAAAAATTGCACTTGCAAAGGTGTCCGGGAAAATTATCGGTAAATTCCTCATGGATGTTCTTTGAGTCTTCGGGTCATACATCTCGACCCGGCAAGTTTCAATAGGAATGTCCAATGAAAGCCCATGTCTTTTGATAAGCCGTTGAAGGTCACGCTCGCTGTTCTGAGGGCTTTTGCCAGAGTTGCCAATAGCAGCAATTTTTCTGATAATATCATCTTGGGGCACATTACCAGAAACACTTGCACAAAGTTTGATGGCCGCTTGTGCTAGCTCTTGCGCCTTGATTTTCATATAATCAACCCTTCAAATTTTGATATTTCATAATCAAACCCTTAAAATATATATCATGTATCGCTATAGGTATATAAGGGTATCTCAACAGGCTGAACCAAGAATCCCATTCACCCCAAAAAAGTGATTTGTGGGTACCATCAAAAACCAAATTTGTTGGATCAACCCAGGCACTTTCACAGCGCTCATCTTACCAGATGCAAAATCGTTCAAGAGGATATTGGCCAAATCACTTGAAGTTGTCGTACTTCTAGATGACGAGGCTTGAACGGGTTCCTGCCGGCCAGTCTTCATGGATTATGAGTGTACTACCCATGGGTGATTTCCCTTTAATTTTGAAATATCAATGATGCAACAAATAATGGTATGGATGGCTGGCGGGTCCTAATAGTGACAACATTCTTCAATGCATGATCATGACATGTATGGTTGATATATGTTTCCGTTAATGGGGTTATACTTACTCCACTTCCACATCGCTCCTGGGAACGGCCAGCAAGCCGAGGACACTTGGATGGCTTTGCCTGCTGGATGGCACACAGAAGGACAGGATGGATGGGCTGATGGATATGGACAGTGCATGCATGATACAAATGGGATACCATCTAACTCCTTGGATGTAAGGTCTGGGTATGATGATCCATAATTATATAGTTCAGGTTCACCAGATCACTGGACCATTCCCCAACATTCAAAGTTGGCCTGCTCATTTCGTGCATGGTCTCTGGCATCTTGGATACCTGCGTGGGAGACACACAAACACAAGAAAAACATGTGGCCCAAAGAACATAGGTTGATAAAACCGAATCCTAACCTGACCTGACATTGAAATATCATATGAAGTCAAGATTGTTTTTGTCTCCGCACATGATGGACTCACGTGATCAACATCTTCGTCGTGTGGAGTTCACACGATGGAACCTGGTGAAATCAAAAGGTGTCATGCTTCTATGGCCTTTTGCTGCATGTATACAACAAATGTCCAAGTGTATACTTTGAAGTGCATGTTGACATGCGAATGCCGTTTCATGGCAGCATCATCCGCATGACTCGACCCCGGAAATGATCTGCCGACTGAGCAAACCAATTTCAAACCCCTGCAGGATCTGGTGATCACTGCTCATTCTCGTCAAGCGCCTGTTGGATGCAGGGGGGATGAAGGGATCTGTGGTCAAGTGTAACCACACCTATATGTTGTGCGGAATCCTATGTAAACCTACTATAATATCATAAAAAAGATTGAATGTTTTTCTTTTTTGCAATGTTAGGTGTATATCATATGCATATCTTTGTTGATTGATTGGGGTGATTTGATACTTGCATATGGATGCACGAGACTTCTCACGTTGATTTCATAATTTAAGTATATGGAGGTTAAACTGTACAATATAGCCATATACAATCCGTTTTGTCACTATCCACGTTCGACGAAGATCATAGATATTTTTCCTGCTATATATAGACAATCAATATATTGGATATTTAATTCAAAAAATGATATGCATATCATTTTTTGAATTAAATATCCAATATATTGATTGTCTATATATAGCATGGCCAGGAAATTAAACATATCTGCATCGATGATCGAACCCCGCCTCAGTGGCCTCAGCGGCCTCATTCTTCTTCTTCTTGCCCCTGCCACGGCTCAAGGCATTGGCACCTGAGCGGTCTTCCTCAAACAACTGCTGTCGCTGCTTGGCAAGCTCAATCGCTGCCCACATGGTATCGTTGGGAACGACATCCTCGCCCTGGTCAGCCAGGGCATAAAAGGGCTTTTGGCAACAAATGTTTTCAATAAATCACATGAAGGACGTTCCCTGTCAATGGTGGTCTTGATTATCCCCAAATAAGCTCATTTAACAAGTTGGTATTCAAATGAATTGCATAACAACGCAATTCAAGTATAGTTTTGGGGAAGTAGGCACCTGACGAAGGTAGTTCTTGATTTGCTGATAGCTCGATTCCAACTCTGTCGCATGGTTTGTAAGCTGCTCACCTTGGATTTTTTGTGGAATCTCATGATGGAGCTATCCATTGAAATTGACACTGCATCAGTTGAAATCATCAGTTTGGGGCAACATACATAATCGAGGAACACAAGGCGCTCTGATGCTTGAGATGGCCAATCTTCAAAGGTAAAAGCTTAGCATCCGAAAGGTCCTTCAAGATCTTAGGGAGCAACCACTCCCCTGCCGGAAAGGGTTCCTCCGGCATAGGCCTCAAGAGAGGTTACCCACATGTAATCAGAAAGGGAACAGGTACCTCGCAAATCCATGGATGGTTATTCATATCTTCAATGAACTAAAGGGTACAAATACTATATATATAGACTATATTATCCGATTGTAAAACATGAATAACAATCCATGGATTTGTGACTAGCTTGGTAGGCCCGCCATTCAAAGTCATCCCCACGCTTGAAGACCCCTTCCGCAGAATGGATAGATTCCAAAGAAATGTTCTCAACTGATATGATGAGAATAACTTACATCAACATGGCCCCTATGGTAGCACCAAATTAAAGTCGGGGATCTTTTTTGGCCTCTGCTGCCGTTCATTCTTGGAAAGATCTGTGGTCGGACTTTGGTTGCTCTGCCCAGGGGTGCCATTGCCATTGCCTTCGGAACCAGAAGGCTGGGGAAGGGCACGGGGTTGGTTGGCCACATTGTTCAGCAAGTTGGCGCTGTCTGGGACCAGGTGCTGCGCAGCCTGCACCAGGAGCAAATATATGATATATATATATATGGGATATATAGGAATGTGTGGGGAAAAACTTATTCATATCAAACGCATTTTGTTGGATAGCTAGCCTCTGATTCTGGGTCAAGATCTCCTTCAGCCCTAAGCTCAACTCGGTCTTCTGACTAGTCTTTGTGAGAATAGCTGAGCTC